CTATAACCCACCTGATCTACATATCCCTGAACACTATGGGCAACTTAGCATGGCCAATCCACCTAGCCTGCAGATCTCTGGACTGTGGGAGGAAAGCATAGCACCCGGAGAAAACCCACACAAACACAGGGAGAATGTGCAAACTCCACACAAACAGTGGCCCAACGGTGGAACCGAACCCGGGTCCCTGGCGCTGTGAGGCAGCAGTGCTAACCACTGAGCCACTGTGCCACCCTTAATGCTCCAACACATTTTTTACTTGAGCTATGTAGATGTTGAAGAAGCTGAGTTATTCTCTGCAGAATATCAACCCTTTAAACGACTCTTCCTTAGAATCCCTACAATGTGGAAACAGGCCATTCGGCTCAACAAGTCCTCCAAACAGCATCCCATGTAGACCCATCCCTATCCCCGTAGTCCTGCATTTCCCATGGCTAATGCACCTAACCTACACATCCTTGAACACTATGGGCAATTTAGCATTGCCAATCCACCTAGCCTGCACAACTTTGGACGGTGGGAGGAAACCGGAGCACCCGGAGGAAACCCACACAGACACGGGGAGAGTGTGCAAACTCCACACAGACAGTCACCCGAGGCTTGAATCGAACCCGGGTCCCTGGCACTGTGAGGTGGCAGTGCTAACCACTGAGTCACTGTGCTGCACATTGGTGGCACAATATTTATGAAGCTGATCTATTTCAATTTCTGGTCAATGGTAATCTCCAGGATGCGGTTGGTGGAAGATACAGCAATGGTAACGTTTCTGAATATCATGAGGAGATGTTTGGGTTTTCTCTCTTCTTTAAGAAGCTCTTACCTGGCACTTGTGCAACATAAATGTTACTTGTCACTTATGCGGCTGAACCTGAGGGTCATCTGTATTTTGTTGCATGCAGACATGAACTGTTCTAATTTCTAAGCGGCGGAAGTGAAATTGAGCATTCTGCAATCATTGGTGAACAATCACACATCTGACTTTATAAAAGTAGGAAAGGCTGCTGATAAAACAGTTGAAAATATCTAGTTTAGAACAATACTCTGAAAAACTCCTACAGTGAAGTCCTGCAGTTGATATAATTGATATGCCACAACTACAATGATCTTCCTTTGAGCTATGTACGACTCCCACCAGTGGAAGATTTCTCTCTGATCGTTAACTGCAATGTCACATATTCAGTCAAATGCTGCCTTTATATCAAAGGCAGTCACTATCACCTCACCCGTAGAATTCAGGTATTTTACCCATATTCGGACCAAGGCTCTAATGAGATCAGGGACTGAGTGATCTTGCTGGAACCAGTGTTTCAGTGAACAGATATTGCTGTGTAAATTCCACACAGTCAATGCCGCCTTTCCACATTTGCTGAGAATAAACAAATGGGACAATAATTGGCTGAACTGAACTTGTCCAGGCAATTTTCCACTGTTGGGTACATGCTAGTGTTGACATTGATGTGAAAAACTTGAATAGAGATACCACTAATACTGTAGCACAGGTCTTTATGGATGTTGTCAAGAAAAATACAGATTGTTAGAGAGTGGCAGCCAAGAGGTGAGCATTTTCATGGGCTTTAAAAGCAAGGGAGAAGAACACTGTTAGAGGTGAGGGTGGAGAACAATGTTGGACTGAGGGAGTGAGGAGAACACTGTCACTGTGAGGGACGGAGGGGAACACTGTCAGTGTGAGGAATGGAGGAGCACATTGTCAATGTGAGGGAGGGAGGGGAACACTGTCGGTATGAGGGAGGGAGGGGAACATTGTCAATGTGAGGGAGGGGGGGAAGACTGTCAGGAGTTAGGGAGGAAGACTGAACACTCTGTGGGTGAGTGTGAGAGATTCCAGTGTAAAATGGTGAGATGTGTCTCCTGACCATGTTGACGCTCAATTCCTGCTGGAACCAACATCGGAAATTGATGGTAAGAGGCCAAATTAAATTGCAGTCTGCTTCAGACATGCTCTCTTGAATGCCCATCTTAAGAATTGGGACCTAATATATCAGCCAAAAAGCTTCTGCACTGTAAGCAAATGTGCAAAAGCAAATGTTTTATCATCTCCTCTGAAGAGTGGCACCTCCAAGAGTGGCTTCTTCAATGGTGCATCACTCAGTTCTACACTGAAGTGCTGGTCTATATTATTTGCTTATGGCTTCAGATTGGGTTTTGAACCTGCAACCTTGTATCTCAAAGCTGAGATGGATACCACTGAATCCGGACCTACGCCAATGAGAGGCAAAGAAGCCAATCAGTTATGAATTAATCTTCCATGCTCCATCTACTTTCCATGATACATCACATTATGGTCATTCTCAAATTGTCAAAACTTGACACAAGCCTTGATTTCCATAGATTAACATCTTGAACAATAATAGCTTGTTCTGCTCAGTAGGTATATACGGTTTATTTCATGCATTACATAATCATAATGGTTTATTTACTGACATGGAACACCATGGATGAAACATTCCCAGCTTGACTGGATCACTCAGTGCACAAGTTTTAAAAATGTATTTGTAGGTTTTGCTAGCAAAGCCAACATGGATTGCCCATCTCTCAATGCCCACAGTAAGTGGTGGGCTTTCTTGTTGAACAGTTGCAGTCTGTTTGGGAAATCATACCACAGTACTGATAAGGAAAGGTATCCAGGATTTTTACGCAGTGACAATGGAGGAACAGTGGTATATGTCTAAGTCAAGATAGTGTGTGGTTTAAGACAGGAAGTTAGAGGTGATCGGATTCCCTTATATCTGCATCGTGCTCTTCTGGGTGACACAGTCTGTGTGCTTTGGAAGTACTGCTGAAGAAGCCGAAGTGTACCTATTGTTAATACACCATATCCTTACTAGGCCAGTAATGGAGAGCATTAATGTTTAGCCTAGGGGATAAGATGTTGATCAAACACAGTTTTGACCAGGATGCTGACAAGCTTCTTGAATGGTGTTGCAGCTCTATCCATCTTGGCAACGGGACATTAATCAATTACATTCCGACCTGTGCCTTGCAACAGTTACTAACTTCAAAAGTACTTAGTTTGCTGAGAATATGGTAAGGCTGTAAATGGTGGCATACAAAATGCAAGATTTTCTTTGTGGATTTTGGAGAGATTTTAAGGAATAAGGAAGAGAAGTCACTTGTCAGAAGATATCCAGCATCTGTCATGCTCTACTAGCCACAACATAAGACCATATGACGTATGTGCAGAAGTAGGCTATTTGGCCCATTGAGTCTGTTCTGCCAATCAATGAGCTCATGGCAGATCTGATAACCCTCAGCTCCACTTTCCTGCCTTATTCCCATAACACTCGATTCCCTTACTAAGACCTGTCTGGCCTAGGATGAATATATTTAAAAACCTAGTCTCTATAACCATCTGTGGTAAAGAATTCCACAGATTCATTGTCCTCTAAGAGAAGAAATTCCTTCTCCTCTCTGTCTAAAGTGGGTGACCCCTCTGAGATTATGCGCTCTCATCCTAAGCTTTCTACAAAGGGAAGCAACCTCTCAGCACCTATTCTGTTAAGCATCTTGATTATTATATATGTTTTAAAAAGATTGCATCTCATTCTTCTAAACTTCAATGAGTACAGGCCCAACCTATTCAACTTCTATTCATAAGAAAATTCATCCATGCCCACGATCAACCTAATCAATACCTTGCAACACCAATGTATCTTTGCTTAGATAAGGGGAACAAAAATGCTTACAGTTTTCTAGGTTTAGTCTAATTAGCGACTTGTATAGTTCTAGCAAGACTTCCCTACTTTTACACTCCATATCTTTTGAAATAAAGGCCAACATTCCATTTGCCTTTGCTTTTACCTGCTGAACTTGAACACTACCTTTTGTAATTTATGCAGGAGGAGCCCCAACTCCTTCTGTGCTGCATCTAAATAATATTCAGATCCTCTGTTTTTCCTGCTAAAGTGCGCAACCTCACATTTTCCCATATTATAGTCTATCTTTCAAGTTTTCACCTATTCATTTAACTTGACAAAGGCTTCAATTCCATTTTCAAAGGATAACCTCCAATGCACTGTGTGACATCTTTCAACATTTTACACCAATCATTCTATGTCTATTCTACATAAGATGGTCAGATAACTGCTATTTGGTATAGAATTATGAACCGTTTTATTTGATGACTTCTGTGAGGATTTGATTTGACGCTACCCAAGATTTACTCGCACAGTATGCATAAAGACAGGAGACCTTTTATCAAGTATTTAAAATCAAGTGGCAGAAGTGAAATGCTTGCACCAATTGGATAGAATAGATAGTCAGAGTCTGTTTTGGATAGAATGGATAGTCAGAGTCTTTTTCCCAGGATAAAAATGTCAATTACGAGGGAATATAGTTTTAAGGTAAAAGGGGGTAAGTTTAAAGAGATGACAGTGGCGAATATTTTACACAGTGGGTGGTAAGCGCCTCGAATACACTGCCAGAGGAGATGGTAGAAGTAGATAATTTAGCAACTTTTAAGAGGCCGCTTGACAGAGCTCTGAATAGGCAGGGAATAGAGGGATATAGGCCTTGTAGAGGCAAAATGTTTTCAGTTAAGAAAAGTGTCATGTGTCAATGCAGGCTGGATGGGTTGAAAGACCTGTTCTTGTGCTGTACTGTTCTTTGTTCTAACCTGCACTTCATATGTCTCCTGTCAACTAATCTACGGCTGACAGTTTGCAAATAAACATACAGGGAAGTTGGGTAATAACAGTAAGCATTAGTAACAGAGATCTCATCACACAGGTACAAATGCATTGTAGATGTTAAATAGGAATCTGAAGAGAAATGTTCTATCAGAAGACAAACTGAAATTAAAGGAGACTTCATTCACTGATTTAAATCATCCTGACAACTTCCCCTTTTAGTGCTGGAAAAAAAACAATGAATCAGTTCACTACGTATTATTCTCAACCTATGAAAAATGTTTGTTTATAGATACAAGTGAAAACACTGCCTTCAGATACCCATTTATAGTAAATATTTTAATAGTAACTTACGATTGCTGTTAACACATTGAACTTCTGGGGTTTGGATGCCTGGCCCACAGTCACTATCATTGTCGGGTGAACATTCTCCCAGTTTCACAACCTCCCAACAGTAACAAGATGGGTCATCACAGGGAATAGCTTCAATTAAGTGTGGACAATTCCCTGCACCACCAGTAGGTTCATTCGCAATTTGTCGTTTCCGCAGTTTAAATCCTTTAGGAAGGAAACAATTTGTTTTTAATTTATCTGTTCACAAATTAAACAGTCAATCATAGAAAGTGGCCTTATCTTACTACTTTTTCACTATCAGTATATAGGTGAAATCTTCAAAAGAATTTGTAGTAAGTGTGGATCATTTCAACCGAGGAATTATAAAAACAGACTTCTTTTTATAACTTAACCTTACAAATTCTGCTCTGATAGAATTAAACGAAGCCTGGCGGATTTGCAGCTCCTACATATTTCATCACTGCATTCATTAAATCTTATTAAAATGTCCCAGTCCTTTGAAAAGAATCTGCACATTTTTGTTAGAATCTGCTTTTACAACTATAAAAAAGTCAATGTAGTATGAAGTTTGAAAAATAGAATGAGGTTGTTCTGTGCACTAGCTGTTGTGAAATTTTAAATTCATTCAATCAGGGCATATTTATGATTTGATTATGCTTACTGCACAGATGAGGAAAAAAATGAGAAAAAGGGAAAACATTCAGTACATGTGTTTTATAGCTACTGTTTTAATTTTACTTCCTACTCAGTTCTTCTTCAGTTGTCCAGACATTTTCTATTTACAAGGTTATGCTCTCTAACATTTAATTTATATTCAAATAAATAATAATTATTTCATTGGTTACAGCCCTCGTAATAATAGATCCATACAGTCTTCAACCCATCAACAATAACTACCACGAAAGACACACTAATCTCTATTTCTTGCACCTGTCCCATATCCTTAAATTTTATGATATTTGAAGCAGTCATCTGAATATTTTTTAAATGTTCTGAGGTTTCCGGCCTCCACTACCTTCCCAGGCAACGAAATCCAGATTCCCACCGCCTGCTGGGCTAAAATGTTTTCTCCCCAAATCGCCTCTGAATCTCCTGCCCCTTACCGTAAAACTTTGCCCTCTTGTGTTTGATTCCTCAACCAAGAGGAATAGCTGCCCTTTATTCACTCTGTCAATACCCTCATAATCTAATATATCTCAATAATGTTCCCCCTCAGTCTTCTCTACTCTATAGAAAACAATCCAAGCCTATCCAGTCTCTCCTTATAGCTCAATTTCTCCATCCCAGACAAATGGTTCTGACCCGAAACATCAGCTTTCCTGCTCCTCTGACGCTGCCTGGTCTGCTGTGTTCCTCCAGCTTCACACTGTGTTATAACATCCAAGTGATCCTCCTCTGTACCCCCTCCAGTGTTAACACATCTTTCTTGTAGTGAGGTGACCAGAATTGCAGAGGTACTCCAGCTGTGTCCTGACCAATGATCTGTACAACTCCAGCATTACCTCCTTGCACTTATACTGTATGCCATGACTGATGAAAACAAGTGTCCCATATGCCTTCTTAGCTACTCTATTCATGTGCTCTGCCGACTTCAGGGATCTGTGAATAATTACCCCAAGATCCCTCTGTTTCTAAGCTACCAACGTCCTGCCATTTGTTAAATAGTCCCTCATCTTGTTTCTTCTTCAACAGTACATCACTTCCCACTTATCAGGGTTAAACACCATCTAGCATTGGTCTGCCCATCTGTTCAACCTATGTATATCTTCCTGTAACCTACAACCATCTTCTTTGCCATGCACCACTCTACCAATCTTGGTGTCGTCTGCAAAGTTGCCTAACATTCCTCACACATTTTCATCTATATATATATTTATATAATATATGTATGTATATAACAAACAATAAGGGTCCCAGTATTGATCCTTGTGGTCTACTGTTGGACACCAGCCTCCAGTCACTCAAGCAACCTTCTACCATTACCCTTTGCGTCCTATTGCTAAGTGAGTTTCTGATCTATATCGCCAAGTTTCCTGCAATTCCATGTGCTTTAACCTTCTCAATTAGTCTCCTATGTGGGATCTTGTCAAAACCTTTGCTGAAATCCATATATACCACATGAACTGATCTTCCCTCATCCTCACACTTGATCACATTTTCAAAAAATTCTAACAAATTTGTTCAGCATGACCACCCCCTGACAAAGCCATGCTAACTATCCCTAATTAACCCATGCTTTTCCAAGTAGGTATTAATTCAGTCCTTCAGAATTTTCTCCAATAGTTCCCTTACCACTGATGTGAGACTCGTCAGTCTGTAATTTCATCTCAACCACCCTTTTAAAACGTAGAACCACATTTGCCACTTCTCCTGTGGCCAGAGATGAATTTAAAATTTGTATCAGAGCCCCTGCAATTTCCTGCCTCGCCTTCCATATCAGCCTGGAATGCAATTCATCCAGGTCAAGTGATCCGCCTGTTTTTAAGCCCAACGGGGCCCCCACTTCCTATGTCAAATTGTGCAAGTTCCTCACAGTCGTTTTCCTGATTTCGTTTTGGTTTCTTACCTTTCTTTCCTTGTGGATTGTCACAGCTTTCATAGGTACATGGACCCCAAGCAGACCAGGATGATACTTCACACTCAATGGGGCAGGCAATCTGACACAACTGTGTGGTGTTTGGTGTGGGTCCATTACACAGCTTGTTGGCAACAGGCTTCTCAACTAGCAGTTTAAAGGGAGAAAAAAAAGTATTGCTTTACATATTAAATATAACACACAAAGTATAAACTCTTATTCAACTATGCTTCCTTTAGTGTCTTGAAATTGTCAAAATAAAAGGCTATCAACATTCAGACAGAATGTACACTTAGAATGGTGAGTAATAACCTTAAATTTAATCAGGGAGTCAGCAAATTGAAATAGGAGCTAGTTCCAAGTGTTGAACCCACCTTCCAAGGGGATGGCAGTAATTATTGAGATCTTTGGGCACATGGGACAAGACATCCCACAAGATAGTGGGATCCAGAGTGTAAGATTTCCTTCCTTTCCTTCTCTGTTGCAACTCTGCCTCATTGTTGAAGTGTTTGGGTTCAAAGCAGGATGCAGCTTAATTGTGTGCGAGTTGTTCCCACTTTGAATGACTGGTGACAAGCTCCTTTCAGTTTTTAATGTCTGTGCCATTATGTTTCATTAATAGCTTTAGAATATTTTTGTACCATTTTCTTTGCCTTGGATGGTATGTCATCATCAAGGATTCAGTTGTTTCTCCAGACTCATTGGGAGGATCATCAATCAAACACTTCCTGAAACAGTTTTGCAAGCATCTAGGTAAATCTCCTACAGAACCAACTTCACTGGTCTGGTTCCACATGCTGGTGATTGGAAAGCAAGTCCTCTGACATGGAACCCCTGTTTTGTTACATGAACGGAGCTGTAATAGGCCCTTGGTTTACAACAATTGGCTTCAATGGTGTCCTTACCCTCCTGGCTGGCAGCCAATTGGTCCTCAAGCTATCTCATTGAAAATGACTCAGGGTACAAATCATGGTGGAAAACCAGCACAGAAGCTGTCAACATCAAATTTTACACCCATCCCTCTCAGATCACAACCTTCAACCATGCACTTGCAGTTTTTATGGCAAGTTGTTCATTTTAAAATTTGTTTGAAAGTCAATTAAAGTGACACTCGATCTTTGTTTTCCTCCACAAATAATACAATGAAGTAGATAACAACTATCTTTGAGACAATGGCAATAGTGTGAGCTCTCTGGCCATTTTTGTGACCTTGCTGTGTATTTGTTATGCTTCAACTGAACAGGGACCGATTATCTTGCCCAGTTGTGGAGTGGCACTCATCGGAGATGAAGGTTGAAATATTCCTTTAGCTCAGGGGTAGAAGAATTTCAGGTGGAGCAACATAAACCATCTGGAGTTAGATAAGGATTTTGATGCCTTATCCCTCGAGGGTCGGGCGGTATCTCCAGCCTGGGCCTATGTTGCTGAGACTGCATTTATATGGAGGTTCCTGAACTGCATAACATCCTAAGCTTGCACTGGCATTCACATATAGTGGCACGGTGGCTCAGTTGTTAGCATTGCTGCCTCACATTATCATGGACTCAGGTTAAATTCCACTCATGTACGACTGTCTGTGTGGAGTTTACACATTCACGCCACATTCGCGCGGGTTTCCTCCATGTGCTCTGGTTTCCCCCCACAGACCAAACATATGGATTAGCCACGGGAATTGAAGGGTTACAGGGACAGGGTAGAAGGTTTGAATCTGGGTAGGATGCTCTTTGGAGGGTTGGTATGGACTTGATGGGCTGAATAGCCTGCTTTCACATGGTAGGGATTCTATGATTCAAAGGGATAGGGACTGTGCAGGATGTAAAGATTAAAAGGTGAACATTTTGACCATTGCTGCACAGTCCAGTCATGAAAAGACAGGAGATGCTTGGAATTGATACATCAGACATAAGATTGCCTCTGTTTAAGGAAAAAAGGATGCATTTCTCACAAACAATCATGCTAAAATCTTATTTGACAAGGGGCATATGTGTCAGACAAAATTGATACCAGTCTTGTTAAAACAGGCACTGTGAAGATCATGAAGAATAAAATTTAGAAGGCCTAATTCAGCTTGTTGGTTTTCTGTGGAAAGAAAATTATAAAACACTGACCATGATATTCTATCCATAATATACACTTAATCTTTGCAACCTTGAGCAGATACCTTTTGTAAATGAAAAGCATCCTTAAATGTGTGGGTGGGACTTTCAGATTCGAAGTTCAGATGCCATTTTGGCTGGGCTCACAGTTCTTTAATTTTCAGGAACATTCAGGACACTTTTCCCTGAGAGGGAGGTTGAGCAGTCTGAAACAGCCCTGGATCTGTTGCTTGCCATTGAAATGAAAGTCCAGGCCATATTATCATGTAACAAGGAAGATGGAGAAAGTGGAAAGACTAAGATATTTCAAAGTAGATTCTTGATCAGTCAGGGAATTGAGGGCAGGAAGTGGACGTGAGGAATAACAGATCAGACATGATTCGTTGAATGGGAGAGCAGGCTCGAGGGGCTGAACGGCCTATTTCTGTACCTATTTCTTGTGGCCTATTGTCTTCAAATCAATATTATTCTAACTTCTCTGACAATTTATCTAAACCAACAATAGTCCATATAGTGCCACGCATATTGTCTATCCACAAATTTTCTTATCAGCTCATTGGCAAACTGGCTTTCAGATGGCCCTACCAACTCTTGAAACAGGACAACCTCAATCCACTGATAGCCATAGACCCCTCTCTTTCAGCACTCAATAATATTTACTCTCTTCTCACCCTCAGATACATCATTCACTCCACTCCTACATCCCCAATTAGTGTTCACATTCGTCCTTCACCCCCAGACAATGTGGGGTTGAACATTTTGGGGAGGGGTTAGTTGATGTTAGTCCTGGGATACTTTGATACTCAAACTGAGTTGTATAGAGGGACAGTCCTGAGCAGGCTTTATACCTGCGATGAAAGGTTTTTCTAAGTAAATTCATGTAAAAAACAGAGCAAATGCAGGTCTCAACTGACCAAGTTTCCATAGAAACTAGGAAAAAGAATAGGCCATTTACCCCATCAAGTCTGTTCCGCCAATTAATAAGATCATGGCTGAATTGTGGCCTAACTCCATATACCTGCCTTTGGCCCATATCCCTTAATACCTCTGCTTAACAAAAAATCATATATCTCCGATTTAAAGCAAACAACCAATCAAATGTCAACTGCCATTTGTGGAAGAGAATTCCAAACTTCTACCACCTTTTGTGTGTAAAAATGCATCCTAACATCTCTCCTGAATGGTCTTGTCCTTTTTTTTAGACTATGTACACAGTTCCGGAATCCCCACTGAGTGAAAATAGTTTATATTTATCTATCCTGTCATTATTAGAATCCCTACAGTGCGGAAACAGGCCATTTGGCCCAACAATTCCGCACCATCCCTCCGAAGAGCATCCCACCCAGACCCATTTCCCCATGTCTAACCCACCTAATCTAAACATCCCAGGACACTATGGGCAATTTAGCATGGCCAATCCATCTACCATGCACATCTTTGGACTGTGGGAGAAAACAGGAGCACCTGGAGGAAACCCACACAGACACGGAGAGAATGTGCAAACTCCACATAGTCACCCGAGGGTGGAATCAAACCCAGGTCCCTGGTGCTGTGAGGTAGTAGTGCTAACCACTGAGCCACCGTGCTCTTGAAGACTTTGATCCAGTCACCCATTAACCTTCTAAATTCTAAAGAAAACAGGCTGAATTTCTATACTGTCTCCTCTTAACTTAATCCCTGAAGTCCAGGTATCATTCTTGTAAACCTAGGTTGTACCCTCTCTAAGGCCAATGTATCCTTCCTGGTGCCCAGATACGTTTGCAGCAATCCAGGGAAATGAATATCTGAATCTCCTGTTGTAAGAAGTATGAAGCAACCCAGGCAGGGTAAAACCGGCAACCAGAAGTTTAAACTTGCTGTGTAAGTGCTGCAGATGTGCAAACATCACCATTTCCTCAGGGTATCAGCAAAGTAGGTTGAGTGAGATGTCACTTACCATTTTATAAGACTGCAATCTTTATTTTTTTCTATAAGAATCTGCTTAGATAAGCAAAGAATCAGAACAGAGTACCTCTATGAACTGCGGGATGGAATAGAAATGAAGAAGACTACTTCATTAACTTTGGAGTCAGAGATCAAAGAATTGGGAGATTATATTAATGCAATGAAGACATAAGAATGGAGAACCAGTGAAGAACGCTAATTTGAATGAAAGGATTGAAAGGGAAGCAGTGGGGGAATCTGGGAAAAATAATGTTGTGAACTGGAAACATGGAAAATCTGAGAACGTGTGACAGGGATTTGGACGTGGTTGAAGGATGCAAGGATGAACTGAAAGGGAATGTGAAGAGTCCAAATGTAAACTGGGAAATTGGGAGAACAGTGCATACTGAACCGTTTAAAAATAATTAATAAACTATATTTAAAACAGAGGTAGATTTTGATTTTGAGGAACCGAGTTAAATGGGTCTAACTTCGACAAAAATAAACAGCAGAGATGTAAAATGGATGCCAATTCACCGTCAGGAACACAGCAGGCCAGGGAGCATCAGAGGAGCAGGAAAGTAGACTTTTCGGGCTGCGACCTTTCTGAAGGGTCTCGACCCGAAACGTCAACTTTCCGGCTCCTCTGATGCTGCCTGGCCTGCTGTGTTCCTCCAGCTCCACATTGTGTTATCTCTGACTCCAGCATCTGTAGTTCTTACTACCTCGCCAATTCACTGCCATCCACATTACACTACTACATATGGTCAAATCCATTTTATGAAGAAGTGACCTGTAAATGACATGTAAACAAATTATATAAAATGTAATATTTCAAAATGAACAAGTTTATATCTATAGCTGCAGCATGAACCATGCAGCACTGCACAAGCAGACTGCCTCTCCAGTTATGCCCAGTTCTACTCTTAATGTTTAAGAGAGACTGTCATTCAAGTTTAGAATACTTGTGAATTACAAGTTTGTCAGACTTATAAAAAATCACTGCTGAAAATATCTCTAACCATATCTGTTAGGATTACAAAATACTCTTGTTGCTGTTCAGATTGCACAAGAACGGAATTACACAACCTCCTGAGTAACACACTTGTTTGAAAACAGTGTCAGAAC